ACGCTCCTCTTATCCCCCACCCCTCGCTCACCGCCAGCGATAAAAAAGAAACGCCGATCCCTCCCGATTCTTTCATTCAACGCTCGGCCGCCTTCCCTTCGGATTCTCGCCCTTCTTCTCTTTCCCCCGCCTCATCAATCCGCGAATTCGCCCGATCATTTGGGTTAACCCGGCCCCCGATCGATTAGACGAGCGATCGAGTCGCAAAGGTATCCGATAGCGCGCGCATCGGCGCATCTTTGGGAAAAAAGTCGTTAACCAAGACTCGCTTTGAATTATATAAACGACTATACGATCATTCGATACGCGGAGGAGAATTATAAGCGAGGATGTAGAAACGAGATTTTTAAGAAAAAAAAAAAAAAAAGCGCGCGAATTTTATTTTAACGAGATACAATAAAAGTTAAACGTATGTAAAGCGAGCAAAATTAAAGGATAAGTTAAATAGAGGTTTAATTATAAGCTTGTTAGATATTATTGACGGTACCATTATGACGCAACTCGGGTATTTATGATTATTTTAATCTTTCAACACGAGTTCCCGCTACGCGTATTGAAAAGGTGAACAAAAGTGATATAACGCGTTCCCGATTATGCCGCAAGGCCATGTAATACTTCGCGTTACGAGACTTCGATGCGAGTATGCACGTGATTCCAGACGCGGCGCTAATACGCGACGAAAGTGCTCGTTTCGATCGGGGGGGGGGGGGGGGGGGGAGGGGAAAGAAATTGGAGCGTTTCTTTTTTGAGAAGATGTTGCCCGAAAAACAAAATTTTGGAAGACGAAACGATCGCGACGGTAGAAAACGAAGCAGCTACTCACCTTACGGAGAATTAAGGCGACTTCCCGATTAAGAGACTGCACGCGTAATACGGAAACCAGTCGCATCCAGCGCGGCACGAAGGATGCATCGATGCACGCGTATTCGCTAATGGATCGACCTTGCCGATTTTAGTATGTGTGAACACGACGAACGCATTTATTAGCGAGGAATCAATTAAAGAGTTTCTCGTATGACGCAAGTATTCGACGATGTCACGCTTATTTTCGCAGGAAGAACGATTTTTTTTCAAGGTTTGCGAAACAGAAGACGTGTCTGTGATACTAGACTTTTTTTAAAGAAATATTTCTTTTTTTAAAAGAGGCCCTATTCTCTTTGCGCGGTATACTTTCGAAAATTCTATCAGATTATCATCGAGCCAAAGGTAATTTTCTCTTTAAAATTGAAATCTCGAGAGAGATCGATCTAAGACGCATTTCGTCGTGAGAGAAAGTCGCGGATCGGTTATCTTCTCCTTTGACTCGGCTCGGCCACTCGATCTCGAGTCGAGTGACCGTGGTGGAGAGATTCGAGTCGAGATTATCTCCCGAGTCGAGAGAAGAGAATCGAAGGTATTTAGGTCGACGTTTCGGCCTCGTCGCCGTATACTCTGTTGACAAACTTCTAGCCATAGAGATGGAAACTGTCTTTTTATCGGGAAAGGAAGCTTCCGTCTAAAGGAAGGAATATGTGCAGTAATATGTATATTGCATATTCCGAGTAATTTTTCTTATTGCTTCTTACAGATGCACGTAGGAAATAGGTTTTCTGGATTCATTATTCGGAGTGGGT